GCTTGAGATTTGTAGTTATATAAAGGCACAACCGAGGGTACCATCAGAACTGATGATTAAATCACTGATTGAAATTGCTTCTCTGTGTGTTTTTGTTGATTTTGGTGTAAAACAGGGAACTTTCACTCTAACAGTGCACAGCCAAAGAACCAAAACTGGGTTTTTTTTCTCAAAGATTCTTTGTAAAGTGAGTAGCTTTCATCTCATTCTTTGTTTTTACGTCTTTATTTGTCTGTTTTCTTTTTCATTGAACTGTAAAATCTGGAACTTGTGAGCAAAAAAGAGTGTTTAAGCTATGGGGTTTTACTCTTTAATCTGTTGTTTGTTTCAAAGCCTGCGATTATTGCATGCGGAGCTGCTGTTGATGATTTGTTCTAAGTTGGGACAGATTGGGTGTTTGGATACGGGGAAAATATATCTTTACTGGGAAATTCATCTTTTGTTTTTCATCTTCACTCTTCTTCTTTGTTTCGGTTCATGATAGTGTTTGCAATTGGAATGTAATATAGGCTAATAGGCTCTGGTTTAGAAGCGAATTCCGAAATCATTTTCTCGACATGGAAGGCGATGGCGGATTCGCACCGAATTCTACATTCGGGAACCTCTCCGATGCTGCCGCTTCCATGGATTTCGATTTTATGGATGAACTATTGTTTGAGGGATGCTGGTTGGAGACTAGATGTGTTCAACTTTAGCAGCCTGGTCCTTCAACATCTAGTGGTCCGAATCTGAATGACCCTTCTCAGAGCATGCATCAAGGTCAGGTGGAAACAATGGTTCCGGACCATTCTCGAAGTCGATCGGAAAACTGGTCAACTGTTGGAAACGCTACTTTGAGCCACAACCCGGAAGTTTTGTAGTCCAAGCACGATTGGGGAATAGATGGTGGATAGGACCAAGGGCGGAATCCGGTTCTTCGTCATCTGTGAAGAGAGACTAATGCAGGCTATTGGATATTGAAGGAATCTAAAAGATAGGGATGTCCTTACAAATCTGGGTGCCTGTAAAAAGAGGAGGGAAGCATTCTTACGACGAGGGTCAAGCCTTACTCACTCAATACAAATTGCAAGAGAGTCTCGAAATCTTTAGAGATGTCTCCCAAATCCTACAACTTCCACCGAGGAGGATTCAAAGGAATCTGTTGGGTTGCCTGGCCGTGTCTTTTTAGGGAAGTTACCTGAGGACACCTGATGTTCGTTCTTCAGAAGCGACGAATATCCCCGTATTAGTTTCGCACAAAAGTACAATGTTGGCGGATCTCTTGCTCTTCCTGTTTTCGAGAGGGGAAAAGGGACTTGCTTGGGTGTTGTTGAGGTCGTCACACACTACTCAAAGATCAATTATCACCCGGAACTTGAACACGTCTGCAAAGCTCTTGAGGTCTCCTCTTTTTTCCTTCATAATTCCATGTTCTCTGTTTATCGTCTGATATTCTGATCCTTTAGCCCGTTAACTCAGGAGAGTTTGCTAGTCGGAAGTTTCGAATATACCTCATGAGTCATTTTAGCATCGTAGACATCTTTGTAGCTGCTAAATTCGGATTGTTTCTACTTATGCATCTTTCTGTTCTATGATTGCTTTCTGTATGTGATGTGTTGTGCTGCTGCCATACTTCATAGTCGTCCATTACGGATTTTTCGTATTTTATGCACAACGTCCTTAGTTTTTTCTCATTTTTTCTTCATTTTATAATAACTTTGTTGCATCCATATAGTAATTGACTTTCATTTTTTTAGAAAAGTAAATTAAATACATAAAAAAAACCCTTTCAGAAGAGCCAATGGTCATGTATTTGTTTATTATGTTACTCATCTGTCACCTATAGGGCCCTCTTCTATCCTCTTGTTATGGTTTAAATAACTGTATCTATTCGCAGGCCGTTGATCTAAGGAGCTCACACGGCTTTACTCCACCTGGTGTTGAGGTAAAGACAATGGCATCTTAAGCCTATAGTTTCGACTGTTTGAAATTTTTATTGTTCCTTTCTGAGACAAAACAACTCATCTGGTTTCACAGCTCGTAACGAGCTGTATCAAGCTGCATTGCCTGACATAGTCGAGGTTCTAAGATCCATCTGCAAGAGATATATGCTGCCTTTGGCTCTAACATGGGCACCGTGCCTCAATCAAGGTAAAAGTGGATGCCGACATTCTGATGAGAACTTTTATTGCGTTTCCACCTTGGATTCCGCTTGCTTCGTGGCTGATGAAGGTCTTTCGGGCTTCCTAGAAGCGTGCTCCGAACATCACCTGTTCCAAGGCCAAGGAATAGTTGGCAGAGCATTCACGACAAACAAGCAATGTTTTTTGCAACTGATATAACTGCCTTCAGTAAGACGAATTATCCTCTCTCACCATGCAAGGATGTTCGGATTGCGTGCTGCTGTAGCTGTCCCGCTACAAAGCACTTTTACAGGATCGGTTGCATTCGTTTTGGAATTATTCTTGCCGAAGGATTGCTGTGACAGCGAAGCACAAAAGCATACGCTGAACTCATTGTCCAGTTTTATGCAACAGGCTTGCCAGCTGGCACGTGATTGTGGACAAAGAGCTTGAGGAAGAAGTGATACTTCCGGTTAAGGAAATGGAAGTTTCCTCGGATTCGAGATCGAACAAAGAAGAAAACTCAATTTAGGATTTCTTCGTCGAAAGAGAACTCTCCAGAGTCATCATGGATTGCACACATGATGGAGGCCCAAAAGAAGGGTAAAGGTGTTTTGTCTCGTGGGAATATCAAAGGAAGAACCGAAAGAGAAATTCAAGGTGACAACCCACTGGGAAGAGACGCAGCTAGAGTTTACAATAAGCATGTACTTTCGGATTTTGGACATGTTAACCAAAATTCCGGAACCGCGGGTACTGTCGATGGGGGTGGCAGCGACTCTTTTTCTGGTCAGCATCACATTTTAGCAGGTAAAAAACAGGTGAGAGAGACGAAAGAAGATGGAGAAGACAATCAGCTTGCAGGATCTTCGGCAGTACTTTGCAGGAGTCTAAAGATGCTGCTAAGAGTATTGGTGGTAAGAAAATATTCCATTATAGTTACAAGCCTTGTATTCTTGCCTGATGTCTCGATTTCTGTTTAACTAAATAATGCTTGTTGATCAAGGTAACTTCTCATTTCTCTCGGAAAAATCTTATAGCCCGAGAAATTTAATTACGGAAAACGACAAGGGACTTGGCATCCATACATTAGCAGTATAGAGTAAGAGTACCATGCTCGTTCGAGTTGCTTACTGATTTTAGTCTATTGCAGTGTGCCCGACTACTCTCAAAAGGATATCAGGCAACATGGGATCACTCGGTGGCCGTCTCGAAAAATTAAGAAGGTAGACCACTCCTTAAGAAAACTCCAACTTGTGATGGACTCGGTTCAAGGTGCTGAGGGAGCCATTCAACTAGGGTCGTTCTATTCAAGCTTCCCCGAACTGAGCTCACCTAACTTTTCTAGCAGCTGTCCATCTTCAATGTTGAAGATCAGTAACCTTCAATGCCATCTGAACCTCAACTTGACAGCGGCATTTTCTGCCGAGGAGCTGCTGCTTCAAAATCTCCATCTTCCTCATCCAGCCAGAGCTCGGGTTCGAGTACCTGTTGCTCCACTGGAGCGAAGCAGCACAGTATCAGTATCAATGCCTTGGGTAGTGCAGATGGGTTGGCATCGGAAGATCCCGAAGGAGCACGGAGGAGTGTTCTCGGTGATGCTGAATTGCACTCCTTGAATCATGAAGAGCCGAAGCTATCTGCAAGAACCGAAAACCAAATACAATAGTTGAACATCCTAATTTCGAGACTCGACCTTCATTCCTGAAAACTGTCAGCCAGAATTACCGGCAGGAGGCACCTTGAAAGTAAAAGCTATGTTTGGAGAAGTCAAAATACGGTTCTCTTGCAACCGAGTTGGGTTTCTTAGACTTGCAACAAGAGATTGCTAGGCGTTTTAACATCAAAGACGTCACCCGAATTGATCTCAAGTACTTGGACGACGATGATGAATGGGTTCTCTTGACATGCGATGCCGACCTTGAGGAGTATAGATATATACAATCATCTCAAAGCCACACCATCCGAATCTCCCTTCATCAAGCTTCTCACCCTAGTCTAGGAAGCTCATCGTAGCAATGCACCGATATAAGACTACGATCAGTTCCCTTACAAGTCGGGAATTCAGAACTACAAGTTTCGTTTAAGTAATTCGATATATTACCGTATTAGTGTTACGAACACATCATGCTCCATTTGGGAACGTGGTGCGAGAGACACATCCACCACTTTAGATGTGTCATTTTGTGACCGGATCTTATCAAACGGAGCCTATAGTCGATAGATGGAATCGAGATACATGAATTATAGTTCTATACAATGCAATAAAGGAGTAGGCACCGAATTCACGGTTGGTGAAGATGACAAAGAGGATTGTGAAAAACATTTGATGCCATACCTATGCTATCTTATTTTTCATTTGTTATTTACTGTAAAACTAATTCATTGAAGATTAATCCATGTAGTGTATAATTTTATTTTTTATTTACTGTAAAATTGTACATATTTTCATATCTCACAACACTTGCGTAAATGATTAGGATCCGATCTATTAATTTTTTCGTCGGCTACAGGCACAACTCCATTTCACCACCCTCCAACCACCTAACTCTTAGCCGATATGCTGACATGGCATCGACCCCATTGTGTCCTAAGAACGTTCATGAGTTAAATCTCTTAGATACTCCATTTTCAATCTTTGAATCTGAAGAACATCCAGTACTTCTCGCGGAAGCGCCACTCAACCCTAAGGCTAATAAGGAGAAGATGACCCAGATTGTGTTTGAAACTTTCAATGTGCCTGTGCTATGTACGTTGCTGTTCAGGCAGTTCTTTTGATACAACAATTATCTGGTTCTATCGATCTTCCCATTTTTTTTACTACCGCAAACTCGATATTGCCGTGAATCTCTCGTTTTGTTCTGCATGGTTAATTTGTTTTCCTTTCAAATAGTACTCTATCCCATATATTCGAATGGGTATTGCCTTGGATTCTGGTGATGGTGTGAGTCATACTGCCAATTTGTGAAGGTTATGCCCTTCTCCATGCAATTTTCCAGTTAGACCTTGCTGGTCATGATCTTACGGATTCATTGATGAAGATCTTAACCGAAAGAAGGTACTCTTTCAAGACTGCAGAACGAGAAATCAACCGATGGGCAAGTGATCACTATTGGAGCAGAGATGTTCATTGCCCCTAATACTCTTCCAGACATCTCTGATCAGAACAGCAGCTGCCGGAATCCATGAAACTACATATAACTCCATTATTAAGTATGCTGATATCAGGAAGGATCTATACGAAAACATTGATACAAGGAATTTTGTCTTGCTATTTACATCGCTTTTCTTTCCCTGTGCTAAAATGACAGAAGATGGCATTTCTATGATGACAAAAACTTGTATATCTGGACGAAGCCAAGGCATGGTTTGAAGTCTCCAATGCCTAATAGAACAAGATTTTCTTTGTTATCATCCATCTGAACCTATAATTTAAATCTTAGAATCAATATCATAATCGTCACAGCATTTCAACCAGCCATTTTATATACAGTACGGATAAGCGATGCAAATAGCAAGATAAAAGGCATAAAAATGATCTGGTAACTGAAGCACATACCCGAAATTGGCCTAAAATGGAATATTACATGCACATATTCAAATCATCATTATCTAGAAAAAAGAACCCTGATTCCATAATGCAATACTTCCATTCTACCGGATAACTTCGTGGCAACAACAAAAAATTCAGCAACAAAAACATTTAACTCCAATTGATCTATTTGTATTGCAGTATAAGGCATTCTGTGATCTTGTCCTTCAAAACTCTTATAAATTAGACATGGAATGACATTTAAGTAGAGTTAGCAATGCTCACGTACTGTGTTCCAAAGTCTCTTCAAGCTGCTAAATGACAGCACTGTTGCAGGAGGGAGCTGCAATATTTCTCCTCCCGACGAGCCGACTTTTTCATGTAAGAGGAATTCCATTCCCCACCATCTTGTGCATAATAATCCATGGGATAATCACCGTGAAAATCCTTTATTCCGTTGCCATCACAACATGATTTACTCTCCCTGCAACTCATTCCATTTCCACAAGACCACAACCATCTCTCTCCCACCATCCGGATATCTCCCCTAGCGCAATCTCTGCCTCGAATGTAGTCAGTAAAGGTTTACAAATGCATCACCCCAATCAATGGAAAGCCTAGGGCAAGCAATTTGAACCCAAGCATCGACTGAATCTTCAAACAAAGCAATTCGAGTCGGACTAATTTCCGACATCAAAATGACAAAATAGTCAAATCCTTTCTCCCTCATTTTACCTTCCAACCTCTCTAAAACCCTAGGATTGCCTTGCCTCCCCAATGTCCCCAACACTATCCCCCAGCTTTTGGCTCCCTTCGCCTTCTCTATAGCTCTCCTCCGTGTTTCCCTCATTCCCTTATGATCATACTCCTCCAAGAACAGCTTCCCCAAATAAGGGTCGTATCTGAAAGCTTTGATTTCTGGATTGCAATCATAAAAGCTTCCAAATGAAACCTCCCATCCGCCACGAAAACCGCCACGTATTCATTTGCATTTGCAATGGAACTGATTTTGGGCGCGGTGCAGCCTAAAACTTCACCAGCTGATAGCGGTTTTTGACTGAGGAATTAATACCCTAAATCCTCGTTTTTCTAGCTCGGGCTTAGCCGACCTAATCGCCGAGGAAAACTGAATCGTCCCAGCTAGTACAATTGATTCCTTGGAACTAGTAAGGTTGTGCTCAATCGTGTTGACGAGACCGTCCACGTTGATTTTAATCTCGACGAAGACGTAAAGGCAAGGAATTTTGTCGCCTCAATTGGAACCAAGCAGCTGTGGCCGTAATGAATCAACAAATCGGCACCAAGAGCCACGGCAGAGAGGTCGTCGACGCAGCACGCCGTAAGTGACGTCGCCGAGGATAAAGCAGTGTGTGACGTCAGCGAAAGAAGTGAGAATATCGGAGATTACAAGGGAGTACATCAGGAGACCCTCGGGAATTGGAGGGCGACGCGCTTGGCGCCAGTGGAGAGGACGCGCCAAACGCATTTATGGATTTCGAAATTGTAGTTGGGAGGGAGAATCGAAATTGCAGCATTGAGGGAGTCGTCGTTGAGGATCGAGTCAGGGATTTGGTTCTTGACGAACCGTTTAGGGGCCGGCTTCGAGCTGCCGGCGGTTCGTTGAAGGGGCAACGGCGTATCTAGTTTCGGCCCCCGTTCGTGTTGACCGGTTTTCTCCATCAAAGGATTCATGAACAAAAAAACAGAGCTCAGTGACGATGGCATAAATTTTTAGGGTTTTGTGGAGGCGAAGATCTTAGAGTGGGCTGACATTGGCAACAACAGCCTTGAAGCTCAATGACACTTAAGCCCAATTATGGGCTAAATATTGGCAAAATTGATTCAATAGGTAATTATTTAATTCAATACAACATAAAATAAATTATTTAAGGATTTACGGCCTTTATTACATTGACTTGGAACTAGTCATGTCAATGTAACGAGTTCTAATAAAAAATATTTTATTCAAATTTTTCACACTTGCATGATAATTTTAACAAAACTATATTTTATTAGAACTCGTCACGATGACGTGATGAGTTTAAATAAAAAAAAAATTATTTTGAAAAACTCATTATGTGGGTGTGATGAGTTTCCCTTACACTGTAATATTTTTTGTAGATCTCGAATTAATTTTGAGTTAATTATTTAGCTCAATATAGGACAAAGTAAATTATTTAGGAACGGACGAATTCTAATAAAAATATTTTATATTCACCCTGGCATGATGAATTTTATTGTAATTTTCAGAATAATATTAACCAGTTAATCTAACTTCTCCTATGTGCATGCCAGCTCCTCCTAAGTTAACCGCTTGAATTTATCTTTTTCCTTGCAATATTGTGTATTTTTGAGATAGAGAAATACCATTTCTTTTCTCTTCTTTGTCGTTCAAAATAAAATAAAAAAAAGACTACGTTTGTTTTTTTAAATGCTTAAATCATCTTAATCCAATATAAATAAATTAAAAGTATAAATTCATATTACGTGTATAAATTATATTTGGACATGGTTTCCCTTTGTTTTTAAAATAATTGCATGAACTCGACACCTCCTTATCTCGTGGGACAAGCCAGTTACGTGACTTTGTTCTTCCTCCTATTCAATTCTATCCATATCTCTCACGTTCTGTGATTTTCTATAGTATAATATCATAACTAAGACACGAATCAAATAATTTTAGTGGTTAAAAATAATAATTATTTTTTTAAAGATTTTTGAGTTCAAACGGCTGTAAGAATATATAACATTATTATCGAATAATTTTAAAGTTATCAAACATATATAATGTTAAAAAACAAATATATATTATATATACCATGCTATTTTACGTCGGATATTAAGGTTGAGACACAGCCCGGCGTCTTCGCTTGTTGGGGTTATCGCTAATGGTCTAAAAGCCTTCATTTGTTAGGGGAGAACAAAGACTATTTGCTTCTTTTAGAGGCAAAAATGATAACTTTTGTTCACGTAAGGTTTTCGTTTTTATCTCTATCGTATTTTTATATCAATTTAACTTTTATAATTTTTCTAAATGTATAATCAGCCGCCATTTTTGATGGAAATATTCTAAAGTAAAAGCAATGCATTCTTAGTCCATTTACCAAATTCGTCAAAAGAATTAGCCAGCAAAAGTGGTTCCTTTAAAAGGCTTTACCTACAAATTAAAGGTAATAATAGAATTTAGAAAGCTTTTTTGTGTTTCCCAGCAAGCCAAGTATTTTCCAAGTTGTGGAAAATCTTTTCTAAAAGTTTGAGTGTGTATTCTTTTAGAATAATCCTCTGTGATAGTTCATGTACGAGTCATTAATTCCATGAAATATTATAAGATTTATTACAAATAATTTAACTTTCTCGACTGCAATTAAAAGATTCTCATACACTATTTCGTTAAATTAATTGATAGATAAATTTATTTTAGGCAAAAGGTAACCTTTGCCCCGTAATAGATTCGATTTATCATTTTCGCCCTATAGTATTTTCACATCAATTTAACCTCAAAGTTGTTTAATTGCATCATCCTATACCCTAACTCTAATCTTAACTTAAAACCCTAAACCTTAAACCCTAAACCCTAAACCCTAAACCCTAAATAATAATAAATATTTAAAACATTGATGCAATCGAGCAACTTAGAGAACTGAGGTAAATATACAATAGGAGCAAAAATGATAAATAGATCTATTACACGGACAAAAATATCATTTTGCCTTTATTTTAATTGTATTATAGAGAAAATGAAAAGAAAATGAAACAGCGTCAATATAGCAAACTTTAGTTAGTCCATCGTCAGCCTGGAAAAAGCTCCTGTGTTATCCTTTTACAACTTTATTACATTTTGCTTTTATGGGAAAGGCGTAGTAGAACAAGCCAACAACACCTTTCACGTATAGCTAATCAACCCATTTTTACAATGATAGAAACATTATTAACGATAATAAACATATCTCCCAACCACTCTTATCTTACGTAAAATAAATACACTGATATTAACTATTTAGAAACGCCATTTTCTTTAACCTTTTCCCATCATTTTCTTACTTACCAAACACACTTACAGAGGTTTCATTTCACAACCATATGGTATGTATCCTCGGAGTTTCCAGGTTTACCAGAAGGAAAAGAAAAACAAAACAATTTAAAGGAGTCGCCAAGAAAGGCGCAGTAGTAACGTGGTTGAACCATGCCATGAATCTCAAATATATATAACAACACACGTGTGGCCCGAGTGTTAGGGCTACGGAGAAAAGGAAGTTTAGCATGTGCGGAGGCGATTACGTACACGGTGACGTGGTTAAACACAGGAAGGGGAAGTGTATTTAGGAGTGTCGTAGCTTATAAATCGTCAGCTCCCCATATCTTCAAGGCACGAGAGTTTTGCTTGAAGTTTGGTGAATTTACAGAAGGGATGGAGCAGATTGTTGAGATATTGCATGGCTTGAAGGCTGCAATGTTGAAGGTGGTGGTTCAAATAGTGTTTGCAGGTGTTAATGTGTTGTATAAATTGGCTGTTTGCGATGGAATGAGCATGAAGGTTACGGTTGCCTATCGCTTCATATTTGCCTCCGCTCTTATGAACCCTCTTGCTCTCCTTGTTGAAAGGTTCTTTTCGTTTCTCTTTCGCTTTATTTTCATATGATGTTCGGTTTTGTTTCTCGACTCTACTGAGGACACCGACGAGTTTAGGTTAGAGGTTTGAATCTTATCATAATTAAGTAAATTATTTAATCTCGTATGGTAATTTTAACCTTTTCCTTTGCAATGTTTGTTTGTTCCGCAGGAATAGCCCAAAGCTAACTCGGACTATACTAGTTCAAGCATTTTTCTGTGGGTTACTTGGG